GGACAAAGGAATTCCTTGTGCGTCTGCAAGCCACAAGAGACAGCGCCGGAAATGCTTTTTCCCGTCAGCTGCACTGCTGCACGGGATTATGTTTGCTTTTTCGGAGCTATCCGAGGGGCAGGATGAATCCCATGGACCCTGGCAAGTGAGGACTACCAAGACTCTACAACATGAGCGATGGGTACCATACCCGTTGCTGATATCGCGGTCAATTTCTCCGTGCCACTCGTCGTCGTCGTCGATATGTCTAGTATAGGATTAGAGCAAAAGACGAGCATGGGCAGCAAGCGAGGACCGAAAAAGCAAGTATACGACGCAACTTTGGAAAGACCATCAAGTTGTATCCGCCAAACAAGAGGAGAAGATTGAAAGCGGCATTAGAAGCACTAACTACACGCTCACCTAGGAGCAAACCTCGGCCCTACCAAGGATACCAAAGCCCATGCCTTATGTCCCCCAGCTCTCCAAGAGCCACTTCAGCTTTGCATGTACAATCGTGAAGGTCCTGTATCTAGGCCCAAGAGGACGGAACGCGCTTCGCCGACGGTGATGGATGTATAAGACAAAGACGAGACGTCTGGTAAGGAGATCGTGGAGTCAATAGGCAGATTAGTCTTGTAACGCAGTGATGGTATAGTATCGTGTTATGATGGAGTGTACAGATGTCAACTCCTTAGACTACAACTTCGACTTGGTAAAACAATCAGAAGAGTAGAGAATATAGATAACGCGTCGTGTCTCAATCTTTGCTGTTACAGAATAACACTTTCTATCATGGTGTATTAAGGTGTAATTGTAGGTTATGCAGCGGGCATCGACAGTTGATACGCCTATATTCAGCCACAGGAACAGGACATATAAACATTGAAACTCGGATTAAGGTAGAACTTAAACACACATGCATAGAAGCTCCCGTATGCATCACTTCTAAATCGAGTAGAAAGCTCACAAACACGGTCATCCACCCACATCGGCATGTAATGTTCTGAAGATAAGAGTATCACATATACTATTCAGACACACCGTCTCAACATTCTTCGATCTAATCAAACCCCTCAAACCCACTCTCATCCCCACTTTCCTGCCCTCGCCCAGCCGTCTCCCTCTTCTTCGCCGCCTCCCTCGCCCCCTTCCTCTTATTCTCAATCTTGCGATCATACCCACTCTTACTACTAATCCTATCCACCTTCCCATCCTTAGCCCCAGCCTTCACACTCCTCCTCGCCTCAACACCCCTCCTCTTAAGCATCTGTCTCTCCCTCTTACTAGGCGTCGGCAACGCATCCAACAACCACTGTTTGACACTCCCCTCACCCTCCTGCACCCCCCTCATCTTCTCGCTCGCCCGGATAACATTCGCAATCAACTTCACAAACGGAATATCGTCTTGAGTGTAAAACGTCACAGCGACGCCTCCCTCGCGGCCAGCCCGCCCCGTCCTCCCTACGCGGTGCACGTAGCCGGCTGCGGAGGAAGGGACGTCGTAGTTCACCACGCCGTTTAAACCGCGGAAGTCCACGCCGCGGGATAGCAAATCCGTGGTTATTAAGACCCAGATCTCGCCCTTTCGGAACCGCGTCATTATGCCATCTCTAGCCGACGAACTCAGATCAGCATGCAAAACTGCGATCCGCGAACTACCGCCCGCTTCAGGCGGGATGTCGTAGAGGAGTTCGGAGTGGAGGGCGATGGCGCGGGGGATGGTTTGTGTGAAGACGAGGAAAGGGGGCCGGAGGATAGGGGTCGAAGATGATGTGAAAACAGAGGTTGGATGCAGGAGTTGGCGCAGACCGAGGAGCTTGCCTTGTTCGGTTGCGGCGTAGGTGAGTTGGTGGGATATATTTGGTATGGCGGAGTCTTTGAGGCCGACGACGAGGCGGATGAGGGGGGGTCGTGCGGGGAGGGTGGCATCAGGTTCATTGGAGGATTGGGAAGTCGATGAAGTCGAAAGGGCGGTCCAGCGGTCGTTCAAGGTAGACGTTGTCAGACTGTCGATATTCGAGCCCATTGTTGCGGACCAGAGACCGATTCGTAGCTTCGGGTTCGTGCAGGCATTCCATATTGCGAGGGTTTGTTCGCGGAAGAGAGGGTCGAGGAGGACGTCTGCTTCGTCGAGGACGAGTTGGGATACACTGGGGATACCCGCGACGGTACCATCCGTGTGCTTCAAGGCGTTCAGCAGGGCCAGTGGTGTCGCGACCAAGATGGCAGCTTTCACAAGCTCTGCCCGTCGACCAGCTTGCTTCTTCTTTGGTGCTATTGCTGTCTCCTCGTCTTCCGACTCAGACTCGTCTTCGTCGTTGTCCGATACCTCAGCTTTCTCTGCGTCGTCCTGTATCTCTTCTTCTGGCTCGTCTACGACTCGCATACCCTTCCTCATAAGCGTAGCCTTGACCGCCGTCCCCTTCGCCAATTTCCTCGCCTCATTGACAATCTGCGCAGCGAGTTCTCTCGTAGGAGCAAGAATAACGGCGCGAGGACCCTCTTTCGTATCCTGAATTTTACCCTCCGCAAGCAGAGAATCGATAATCGGTATCAGGAACGCTATCGTCTTTCCACTGCCCGTCGGCGCCACGGTCAAAAGATCGATATCCCCATTATACTGAGCGCCAGACAAGCCCTCGGCGTCTTGTGTAGCACCACTCGACCCCTCGCGCCCCTTCTTGCTCAGCAGCAACGGCAAAGCTCCCAGTTGCACCTCGGTAGGTAGCTTGTACCCCTGCTCTGCTATATTCTCCGCCAGTCGTCTCGAGATACCGTATCGCGTCCGTAACTGCGCAAACGAGGTGAGGGGTTGTGGGTAGAGCGACTTCTTCGCATCCTTCTTCTTCTCCTTGACCTCCTTCTCCTTCTTCCGCTTCTTCGACTTCTTTTCTTTGACTGGCTCTTCTACTTGCGGCGCGAAGTCTTCCAGGACCGAAACCTTGAGCTTGTGCGAGCGCAGTATCCGCTTGCACTCGTCCACATCGTATGGCTCCTCTTCTACTTCCTCTGTATTGTTTTGAAGTCTAGCCTCTTCGTCTTTCTTCTCTTGCTGCTTCTGCTTCTTCCTCTGCTTCTTGGATAGCGTGCTTCCGTTTACGTCTGCTTCTTTGCTTGCACCGCCGCCGAAGAAGTCGAGGTCGGCGGGCAGGTCATTTGCGCTAGGAGATGCATCCCGGCCATTCTGCCCTCTCTTCCTCTTGCGACTGGTATTCGACGTGTCGGACGGTTGTGCTGGGTCGTCGTGGCCAAACAGCTGCGGGTTTGCGACAGCGCCGGAGGAGGGAAGCTTTTGCGCGGACGAGCTTGGCGCCGCTTTGGAGGATCGCGAGAGGAGTTTGAACACGTTCATAGTGGCGGGGGATCAGGGTAGAGTCAACAAGAGCGAGTTATATCCTGTCCGGCATGGCGACTTGGGTTTTGTTCACACTGCAAAAGTTGGATGGATGCGCTCAGAAAAATAACTGGGCCGCGGCGATTCGGCGCAACTAGCGCCGATCATTCGAGCATTCACGCAGCTATCATTATCGTTGGTTTGACTGAAGCAGGTGCTTGGACTGAAGTAGATGCATTGCCAATAATTGCACATGTGTAGAAAATGGAATCTAAATCAGAGGTATGTGCAGTATACAGTATCGGATCCCTTGCGTCCCGAGTGCACCGCAAACACACTTGCTCAGCTTCCCTGCCCGCCAAATCGTACAGTGTTTCCTCGCCGCCCCCTCGTCGTCTTGCTCGCTACCGTTGGAACCTTTGTGCATGCTGTAATAGTCGTGTCGTAGCTTCCTCAGCTCATCGCACTCAGTGGTGCTCGTCCTTCTTGGTCCTGTAGCCCACAAGCTTGAAACGGCCGATGATCTCGCCAACCGAGAAGAAGCCAATCACCTCGGCGACAACTACACCCATCGAGTACCATTGTTCGCGGGGGATGTTCCGGACTTGTGCAAGGACGTTGGCGGGTTGCTGCGAGGCGCTGTTGGCTTCGCTGGCTACGCGGTTGAAGAGCGAGGTTGGGTTGCGGAGAGCGTTCAATGCGGGCTGGATGTAGTTCTGCATCGTCTGGACGGATCTGTGTGCCGTTAGTAATTATTCCGATACCCCAGTGTGTCGAGTGGTGCTGCTGGGAGGCTTACGGTGGTTGCATGCTTCGTTGGTGGGCAATAAGCTTGCCGAGCTCGAGTCCGACCCTTCCGTAGTAGGTAGCCTTGGGAACCAGTCCTGTGGTATTGTCAGTTTATAGCCCAGTTTGGAGTTCTCCGCCGTTCTGCGACTCGCGGCCATCCGTCTGTCACGGGTGAGCCATGCAAATATGGCTGCGCCTGATAAGCCATGTAGAGCTGTTCGGACAAGCCAATGCACTCCACAGTTTGCTCTCTCAGCTCAGACTACTGCACGCAATTCGCACATGGCCAATTGATACCCTCCCCCGCCGCAGAGATGGTGTGACTGACCGTTGACGAAGTTGACCATCCTTCCTACCCGTCCCGTGGCCTGCTGTGTCGCATTGTTGGCGGCTTGACCGGCACTCTGTGCGGCCGAGCTCGCCGAGCTTGTGACCTTGGTGAGACCCTCTGAGGCCTTTGACTGTGCCTTTGACGCGGTTTCCTTTACAGTGTTGGTGGCTTCGGCGGTCGTCGAGGCATTGCGGATGCCAGCGCGGCGGACGGCGAACGTCGATTGCCGTATGGCGGCACGTGATGCAGCGAGAGACATGTTGATGCGAATTGACTGAGGGGAGATGGGGTGTCGCCGGTCGTCTGCTCGTCTCGTGAGGGTGGATGGAGCTCGGCAGTGACGCTTGGTTTTTCAGCGGAGTCCGTGCGTCGTCGCCGCTTGCCGGCTCAGGGGATCAACCATGTTGCCATTACAACCTCAACAATCCCATGCTAGTCACCATGAGGTCACTTTCATGAGAGATTTGTAGTTGTATCATGAAAAATACGGGTTTCACTCTCATACTCCGTCTCCAGGTTATTCAACACTTCTCCAGTAGTATAAACAATCTTCTCACAACACCATCACCAACTACCATCGAAACTCCTCTTCTTCTCCTTGGGCTGTCCCAACATCTCACCTTTGATCAGAAAGTTCAACTTTCTGATCTCAGTCCAGCGACTCAATGCGCCCAGCTCAAGCACACTCATCCTTCTCATCTTACCACTGGGGTTTCCAATTACAACAGCTTTCCAGTCGCTGCCCCGGCCGACGTTTTCTAGATCTTTGAACTCTTGCCAGGCTGCCGTGTCGCGACGGGTTCCGAAGGTATGGTTGGGTATAACTTGTACGGACTTGAAGCGACAGAGGACCAGGATCAGAAGAACAGTGATGCCAAAGAGAATGCCCGCTGTGGCACCCGTGGACTTTTGTGCGCCAAGACTTCGCGTCATGTTGCCGCCCACCATGGTTGCGACAGCGGCGAGGACGAAAGCGATAATCTGGCTAGCGAAGATACCCGCAGTGACACGAGGGAATGATGTGTAGTTTGTCCTCCTTCTACGATCTTGTACAGCCATGCTTTGCAAGCGATGTCGCGTGTTGACTCCAGGTTGCAAGTCACATGTATCGAACGTCTCCATCATCAGACCATGGCATTCGGCTATGGCGAGGATACTGAGGAATCCTACAGCGCCAGCGAAGATAATCGGTACAAGCCATGGTTGAGGGCACCTAGCCGACGAGACAGTGTACGCCATGCCCATCAGCGGAAGCGTGAGCGTGAAGATGGCGCGGCGGACAAGATGGCTCGACCAGGTCACTTGCTTCTGGAAGGTCATGGAGTCGGTGCGAAATGCACTTTTCCGCTCACGAGAGAAGATGCCGGCTTTCGTCAAGGGGATGGCAAGGAAGGCGCCAATAGCTATCGATATAACGCCCGCGCCCACCTTTGTTGGTTTCCATCGGTAGTCTCGCGACAACAGAGCACCGAGAAGGACGATCACAAGTACCACCTGCGCGTAGATCCATCCAAGGTAGAGTGCCAGGACGAGGAAGCCAGGTTGGCAGAGCATCATTGTCATGAGCTTGATACCCGCCCACACTTCTTCAAACCAATACTTCGGTCCCTCAGTCTCGATATGTAACTTTACCTCACCCCGACTCACGCGCCTGGTAATATAGTTCTCGTCTCTGTCGTACACCTCAGTTACAGACTTCCGAAAGGGTGCGCGTCGCGTTTCCGAAGTCGTGATGTTGAGGACCAAGGCAAAAGCCAGAATCACGACGATAATGTAGAATCCCCACTGCGGCGATAGACAGTCGATGATCGCAGCGCCAATCTGAAAGCCGACGGCAATGGAAGCAATCCAGCACCATGACCAGATGCCCAGCCACATGCCCATACCTCCACCATGGCGGCGGACATCATTCGCGACAACGAACTCTTGGTGAGGGTTCTTGGACTGTAGCGAAGCTCCAAAGAGGTCAAGCAGTACAGTGATGTAATTGACATTTGCGAAGCCGAGGACGAAACCAGATACACCACGTGATAACAAGAGCCCAACACGGTACTTTGCCTCCTTATTGTGGTACCCGCTTACAACAATAGCTTGGGGAAACTGAAGTGGCAAGGCGATCGCTAGAGAAGCGAGAATGTAGGGCTTGCGTCCGTGCAGGAGAGGTAGTGTCCAAGCGAAGAAGGTCGAGATGGCAAGTCCAGCGTAGAGTACTGCATTGCCTATGATGACGATATGGCGTTCGTCTGCGAGAGAGTACTGGATACGAGGTACCTCACCAGCGTAGATACCGACGATGATGCCAAGCAGAGCTGTGTTGATGCATGCAATACTGGCGGTTAGACGCTTCTTGCCCGTAGACCAGTTTCTCGCAATTGGCTGTCTACGGTGATGTCGATGAAGACTAAACGTATGATGGTGTGCCTGTTCCCGCACGGTGAGTTCGCCGCCATATGGTTTCGATGGTACATCATCCTCGTCGGATGAGCACTCGGTTTCACCGAAGCCTGAATCTCTTGGTTCGGGCCGGGGCTTGGGTCGACACACAAGCTTTGGGCTTTGGTGGCGTCGATGTCGGTGTCGTGTGGAATCACCGTGGTGGCGTCGGCGAGAGCGACCACGAGACTCATCACGGCCCACAGGACGGAGGACAAAATCCACATGTTCTCTCGGAGCTGGCTGAACGAGCTTGGGTAGAAGCAGATCGGCATGAAGGTGGTCTCGTTCGCTTTTGCGGTCACTGGACGAACATGACGACGTAGAAGAACTGCTTTCTTTTCGCGCATTCTGGTTCGAGTAGGCCCAGTCATAAGACACTGATGCTCTTGGCAGGTCAGCATGTAGACGGACGTCGGGGGCGATATCATCCAGATTAGTCCGATCAACGACAACTGGGAGTACGTTGTGAGTGCGAGAAGGCGAGCTTGAAGACTCAGACACCTTCAGAGGAAGGGCAGTTGTCATGAGATATTCAGGCTCGGTGGTAGCGTCGTGTACGGCGTCTCTCGCCCCCTCGATAATCGTGTACAGTTCTTCCATTTGGCCCCGATCATCGGCAACCTCTGCAACCGCGGCAGCGTCCTGTACCATGTCTTCCAAGTCTTCTACTGCGTTGCTTATCTTTCGTTTTGCCGCCCGCTCAAAGGTAACGCGGGCTGGTGCCGGTTGCGTGGGAGACATTGTGACTCTAGAGATGACTGCTGGAGGCGTGCTGGTGCAGTCTGACGTGCTGGACTGTTGAAGATGATTTGGGACTGGCGCGAGGCTGTCAGCGCGAGGGCGAGCATCGTGAACATGGTTGACTCCCAGCTCGTCAACATCCTGTTTGATGTTCACGACAGAAAGCCTCTTTTGTGGTTCATGTGACTGCGATATGGATGTTCGATGCGCCGACCTTAACGGCGTTACTGTATTAGTCGCCAATGAGAAACGACGCGTTTGGGCTTGTCGATGTCTCGTCACTGGGGATGGGCTACTGGTAGCTGTTGATGGAACCCGACGTTCACCTGCTGGTACTGATGACTTCCTTCGTGGCATCGGTCTGGTCGTGATAATGGGCTGAATCCCAGTCGCGACAGTCACCTTGCCGCTAGGTCGCGTGCTTGGTGATGGAGACGGCTTAGGGCTTTCGTGACCATCTACAGGCGAGCTGCATGGGCTTTCCACAGTCGTGCTGTTCTGACCATCCGTGAACGTTGCAGCCACGGCCTGTGAAGTTTTGTTGCTGAGCCAGGGAAGTCTGTCCGATGTCGTTCGTGTTCCAAGCTTCTTGCGTTCCGGTGCCTTCGTCGTCTTTGGGGGAGCGCTCGACGCCTTCGAGGCATTGTTCTCAGGCTCAGTCATGTTGCTAAGTGAACGAGTGATTGGATTGGTCTGTCTGAGACGGCGAACACGTGTGAACACCAAAGACGGCAGTTTACGCGCTCATGTGAGGTTTGCCGACCGAGTTGCTAGAGGGTTGGAGTGAGAAGTCGGCCTAGAAGGTGAGATGCAAAATGAATATGAGACGACCAGCTTCGGCTGCTTGCAGAGAAGCGCAGGCAGGGCGGCGGAGGCGGAGGCGGAGGCGGAGGACGTAGAGGGTGTAGAAGAAGCTGGTCGTTGTAGCGATGAGACAAAGGATGGACGGCTGGAAGGTGTGGAAGCGGTGTCGTGTGAGTGCGACAACATGGAGGTTGAGCTAGCTCTGTTTATTTGCCTGGCCTTGGACTCGCTCTTTCCGTTGCTGCGTACAAAGGGCGCCGGTGACTTGAAGGGCAGCTGCGACACTAACGCACGTTCTCCGAGATCGAATCAACGGCAGTCATGACATTGCAATGCTTCTTGCATCTTACTTGAACTCATTGCTGAAAACACTGTATTACGCTATATTTTGCTAACTCCCCTTCCTTCCGCTCGCGACGGAGAAGAACATTCCGTATACGCCATGAAACACATGGGTGAAATCAAACGCCAGATACCCCATATCGTACGCCGATGTACATTTCCCCGAGAAGAGAAGGTAAAGCCTTGATCATTCGAGATCGGGTATCAAAAAATGCGAAAACACGTGTTTGCGCGTCTAAATATGCGGGTAGGGAACAGATGTTGTTAGAAAAAGAACATGTGTGGTGAAAAGACGATAGATCGAACATGGAAAGAGCGAAAGGAAACCATAGCGCGAACGCTGTGTAAACATAGAGGAGACCCGCAGCTTTCTCGCGCACACTAGCCACCACCCATACCAAACAAGAACTTCAGCTCTGATACGCTGAGCTTGGTAAGGCTCTTCGACGCATTCTCATCCAGCGCCGCATCAATCTGCTCACGCTTCCTATCCTGGATAGCAATGATACGATCTTCCACGGTCTCCGGTACAATGATGCGGTGCACATATACTTCACGCTCCTGGGGCATACGATGGGCGCGGTCGATGGCCTGTTCTTCGAAGAAGGGGTTCCAGAAAGGGTCGAGGATAATGACCTGAGATGCTTTCCAGAGGTTGAGACCCGCGTTACCGGCTTTGAGAGAGACGAGCATAATGTTTTCGTTTGGGTCGTCCATGAAGGCGTTTACGGCGTCGGCGCGCTCGTCCATCTTCATGCTGCCGTCGTAGCGCTGGTAGGCCAGTCTTTCTCGGTGTAGAGGTACTTCGACGAGATCGAGCAAGGAAGTGAACTGGGAGAAAACGAGCGTCTTCTCAGTCGGGTCATTCTCCTTGATCTCTTTGAGCAGTTCAACAGTCCTGCTGATCTTCGCAGACGGAATGAAGGTCTTGTCCAGGCGACGCAGGTAGCGCTTCTTGGCGCTCTTGTTGCGGAGAGACTCTTTCTTGAGCTGAGCAAGAGTAAGCTTGGGTTTGGCGCGTTCCTTGCCCTTGCCCTTGTTGCCCTTGCCAGACTTCTTTGCCTTTGCCTTTGACTTTGACTTCTTCTTAGACTTGGACACAGATGCGGAGCCTAGGTCGTCGTCGTCTTCTTCCGCCTCATCGGCGACGTATTCGTCTTCCTCATCATCGTCAACGACGAAGCCAGCAAGGTTGCCCTTCCTGTCGACATCCACTGCATCCTCCTCGTCTTCGGAGATGTCAGAATCAGAGTCATCTTCTTCAGCATCGCCCTCCTCTTGTTCTGACAAGTCAGCTGACCCAAGCCGCTCTGGGCAGTGGACCTTGCAGAAGTGCTTGTAATCTGTGATCAGTTTGGCGCTGATATCACCACGGCAGTGTGGGCACAAGGCCGGGGCAGCTTCATCATTGCCATCTTGAGCGGTTCGCATGGCCGGATCCATGATCTTCTGGACACATTCACCGCACACCGTATGTCCACACGGGATGAGGATCGTCGGATTCGGATCGAGATCAAGGCAAATCGGGCAATCGAAAGACTCATTAGCCTTCAGTCGCGCGACGACCTCATCACTCAATTCCCTGGCGCGGCTCAAGAGATCGTGTTCATCGATAGCCTCGGTTGCTGGTTGACTGAGGTCTTTGATAAGATGCGGATGACAACATGCTTGGCGGAGGCGAAGCAGGAGAACCAAGACGTTGGCGTAGTTGCTTGTGACAGTACCCTTATCAAGGAACTTATTCATCTGAAGCTGCGACTTGGTTTCTAGAGCCTTGTAGAGCTCATGTTCTTCGTCTTCGAACTCCACACTATCGATGGCAGAGTGCTTGGGAGGGATCTTGGAAACAGGCTGCCCATCAACGACAGCGTCTTTCCGACGCCGGAGCATGATACCCTTGATTACGATGTGAAGACGGTTCTGTGCACCGGTCCGCGCGCGTGGCTGAGTGCTCTTGTAACCCTAGATTTCGTTAGTAAAAGATCGTACCCAATGGTCAGAGCAATCTGTACTTACCTTTGCAATGTCCATGCTATACTTGGTCCATGTAGTATACGGCGACATCTTCAAGAATCGGAGAAGAGGGAAAAGCTCGTCAACGCTGTTCATCATGGGCGTACCAGTCATGCACAAGCGGTGTTTAGCCATGAGATCAGCGCACGCCTTGGACGCCTTGGAGTTCCGGTTCTTGATATTGTGGGCCTCGTCGATAATGATACGATACCACATGCACTCTTGTCCTAACAGTGCGAGCCTATCCTTGGCCTTGCGGCGCATGCTAGGGTTGCGGAGCTCTGCGTCGTTGGCCATCGCCTCTTTGGAAGACTCCTTTTGCTTGTATTCTGAAGTCAGGGAACCAAAGGTGGTGAGGACGACGTCACACTGGCGAAGACGAGCGAAATCAACGTTCTTACCACTGCCATGATAGAGATGAACCTTGAGCTTGTGGCGAGGATGGATATGACGCTCGATCTCCTTCTCCCATTGTCGCATAAGGGCGACAGGCGCGATAATGAGCGTTGTCTTGCATGCCGGATCCGTCGGCGGATTCGCGCAAATGAGAGCGAGAGCCTGGATGGTCTTGCCCAGGCCCATATCGTCTGCAAGAATGCTGCCCTTGGTCGCGCCGCGCTCCTTGTCGAGCAGCCACGTGAGACCTATACGCTGATATTCTTTCAAAGTACAAGTCATGGTCTTGGGAGTGGGCGCTCGCTTTTCTTTGTCCTCTTCGTCAACACCAGCACTGATGCTCTGCAAGAGCTTCTCAATGTCTTCCGCCTCATTGACATTGAGCGGGAAGCGGCCATACTCCTCTCCGTCACTGCTCCACCCCCGCATGTGTTCGGGATAATCTGCTTCAGCACGAGGCTGATAAGGGAAAGTCTGCGGCACAGCGAAATGACTACCTGGTGCACTGGGTGCGATCAGAAACTCAGCAAGCTCTTCCGGAGCCATGAACTCTTGGTTGAACGCATCTGCTGGTAGTATGGTGCCATTGTCACTTCCTCCCTGATAGTTATTGAGCTCCGGGAATGGGTCCATATAGTGTGGGGCGGGATCTGGTTGCGCATGTACATGGATAGGAAGCTCGTAATTGCCAGGCGAAGGTGGATTCGATTCAGTCAGGTCGACAAAGTCCATAGGGTCGGAGTGACGAACCCGAGCGGCCTCGCGACTAGGAAGCGATTGTGACCATGGACCAACGGGCGAAGTTGGAGTTACCGGACTAGGCTGCCCGCTGACACGCTTGGCTTCGGGGTAGTCGGTTATCCCAAGGCTGCGCTTGCGGCTATGTTGTGGTTCAGGCAGAGGCGGCGAGGGCGGTACTTGCATACCATACGACGACCCGTTGGTGTATGACGGGCCGCTATGGTAGCTTGTGTGGTTGTTTCCGTTGGCATGTGTCCAGTCACCATTCTCGTTTGAAAGGACCTGCCCATATGCGGTCATGGCGTTGTTGGGCTGGAAGCCATTTTCTGTGATGGCAGTGACCAGGGCATCGGTCTCGCTTTGGTGCTGCTCAGCCGACTGCTGCTGGTATAGCGTCTGGAGCATGTTCTCGTACACCGGCCGATCAGCGGGATCAATGGCTGGAAGGACCTCTTCGAGCATCTGAATATTGTCTTGAAGGCTCATCCCGTCGGACGCCATCTTGGGCTAGGCGGTACCGTGGTCAGGAATGCGAAGGAAGCGGGTCGGCGGTTGTACCAGGGGACGTGGTGGTGGGGGTGGAAAGCGCCAGCAGTGCGGCGCAGGGCGAGTTAAGTAGGAGAGGCGCTGTCGGTGCTGCGGCGAGGACGCGGTGAATATGAAAGTGAATGGGGAGACGGTTCTGGTGAAATCAGGCAGCCGTG